AATTTTGGAAAGGCTATGGCGCGCTCAAGATTCGAATTGTTACGAAGCTGTATTCGATTTAGCAAGCAGAACGCAACAGCACCGGTGGATCCGAATGCCAAAGAACGGCACCAATGGCAACTGTGTGATGATTTTATAGTTGCATTTAATGCGCACAGGCAGGCGAATTTATTCCCATCAGAACGTCTATGCGTTGATGAGTCGATGTCACGTTGGTGCGGTTTAGGCGGCAACTGGATAAGCATTGGACCCCCACACTATGTTGTGCTTGACCGATAACCAGAAAGTGGGATGGAGATTCAAAATATCGCTTGCGTTAGTTCGGGTATCTTGCTTGGTTTGAAAATCGTGAAAACAGCAGCCGAAACAGCACGAACATCCTCGGACGAACACGATAACGGCACAAATGTATTGGTGGAGCTGGCTGCACCGTGAAACGGCAGAGAGCGAATCATTTGTGCAGATAGCCACTTTGCATCCGTGGATGCCGCTGAAGCACTGCTGGGGATGAATCTCCGGTTTATTGGTGTGGTGAAAACCGCCACCTCTCGCTTTCCGATTGGTTACTTAAATCGCCTGCCAATGTATGATAAGGGATATTCTATATCTCTTATCACGAACGTAACGGTCAATGAGCAGAGCAAAAAAACGGGGCAATTTCGTGGCTTGACCGCAATCGAAGGACATTCGTCACAAAATGCGGAAATATGCAGGAATCTCTTTTGCAGACCCGCACGCGATGGCGCCAATTTGGAGATGGCGCTTGTCCTACCGTAATCAATATTGAGATGCCTAGACCTGTCTTCGAGTACTTCGACGTTTCTGGCATTATCGACCAACACAATCGTGTGCAACAAGACAGTTTAGATTTCGAAAAGAGCGTCGAAGTGAAGGAATGGAGCTTCCGTATGAATAGTACTGTGTTAGGAATGGTTCGTACTGATGCATGGTATTTATATAAGTTTGGACGGCGAGGTCGCCCGATGATGTCACCCCACAGCTTCTGGTGTCAATTGGCCACGGACTTGATCAACAACTCGTGGGATGAGACAGGTGTACGACGGCGGGCATCCAGATCTTCGTCTGGATCTGACAGTCCAGATGCAAGTGTCGTATTGGGACAGACTCGTAGTGGAATTGACGTTCATTTGACACCTACTAAGCCACTGTGACGCACCAGAACAGGACGCGTACGGGGCGCTCGTATGCAGAAAAAGTGCAAATTATGTCCTAAGAAGACGAAATGGATCTGTTTTAAGTGCTTGGACAACGAGGGAGGTGAGATATTTTTATGTCATTCCTAAACGCAGCGTAGTTATTTCGAGGCTCACTTAGACGTGGTTCACGACTAGATTAATATCCCCAGCCCGGCGAAGTTGAGCTCAGCAACGGTATTTTGTACGTAAAGAACAGTTTTGAGCATTTATGAGAGTGGGCGATTGTAGTGAAGTTGTTTGGATGATTAAGTTTACGGGGGCAGCGTTCGTACGATACAGCGAATTTTCCACAGATGAGTACATATCCATGTAGGTAAATGCTTTTTTGATGCAGGTAAAATGTATTCCGGGAGTTCAAGTTGTGTATTCCTCCTTTAGGGTGGAGTGCGAGGGACATTGATAGTCTTTAAGTGGACTGGATCTGCGTTTAAGAGAAGCTGGGAACTCTTTCGAGTTCATCCTTATTTGAGGATTTGCGATCCTCAAATGAGGAAAAAAAAAGTCAAATAGACACTAGATTTCCCCTACACGAAAATAGATTATGAAAAAGTGGAAACACACGTGGCAACGTAGCAGGCGCTTATTGGATATGTGGGGTATGACAAGTTTCCAAATTTCCAAATTTCCTACTGTCCAAAACACCTAGAATGCCCCTTAGTCAGATAGCTCCAACTTTTGGTTACAGTTGAAGATGCATGCTTACAGCAAAATCTCTCATGTTTTGTCCAATGAAAGAAGCATGTCTCCTGCGCCATTGTCACCTGGTTTGTTTTGGGGATAGACTAAAGGGGGGTGCTGGAGACGTCGGACAAAAACCTCAATATTAAAAGGAAAAAGTACTTGTAATTGTCAAGCAATCACCATTTTTTATGTTTTGCGACGGGGACACTCTCAGCCTGTCGTCCACTGGGACTTGGCGAAAACAACCACGGACACAGAAGAGGAGTGAGATTGAAGCGCGCGGACACTTTTGCACCTCAACCGAGCACTAAGATCGGACATCCAAGCAAATAAATAAAAAATAGAAAAGTCCGCCTATTTTGTATTTTTGGGTTGTTGCACACTTATACGTAGAAAGCCGTAAGCAATCGATTGAGATATTTTTTCTTTAATTTCAACCACGTCGTTCTGATATACGGCGCACTATCTGGCGCCGTTACGCGCGGCGGTGCTCCTTGGCCCGTGTCGGAGATATTTTTCAAAATATTTTGCATGTCCGATTTTTTTGTCACTGTCCGACAACACCAGCAACCCCCCTTTATATTGAAGTAACTTCTGTAATTTAAAGTTTGACCAGTGCACTGGCCACCCGTGAAGGCATTAGAGATATGAGAGAATCATTTTTGCAATATTATATATATACATTAAAGCAAAACTCTTCAGAGTCCTTTTAGAAGCCATTTTTTTAACCTACATGCTGCTGGCAATATATTACGAAAAATAGGGATAGCAATTGTCTATACACAGAATGACTAAGAATATATTGCAGTCTCAATACTGGGTTGACATTTTAAACAGGCGTTTTGGTTTCGAAGAATTATTTTTAGGCACTCTGAAAAAGGCTGGAAAAGACGTGCAGATCCTACCAAATTTCACCGTTCCGCAACGCAGAAGTCATCTGTGGTGGGGAGAGAATAATTTTCCTTTTTGTAAAGCAAGCACAAGTCGGGAAAATATGTTGAAAACTAGCCTCCTATGAGGTCACCTGTCATCTAGACACCGGCTAGTGTCTTTCGGACAGTGAGTCCTTATGAGGACAAAAGTTATTTGATTTCTTCAAGACGACGAAACTCGAGATATCACTTTTGTGTTTTGAAACCAGAAGGCCGTCACCACTGGTAAAGCATTTTCTTGTCGATTCTAGTGAAAGCCAACTCGTTGATGCGTATAAAGGTGTTCAAAGGAAAAAGTCGGCTTACACTAAACATTTTTCTTAACGCTATTTTTAAAATTGCCAGCGTAGAAACATTGCGTTGATGGCTTTCTACAGTATTCGGTTCTAACTTCAGAAGAAAGTGAAAACCAGTCAATCTACCAAAGAAAAATTGAAACCGTGGCTATCAAAGTTGAAAAGAACTAAAACTCGCAGATTTTTATGTTATGATAACGCTTGGTCGGATTGACACTAGAGTTCACAGGCGAAGCCTCGTGCTGCTCTTGATCCGCACCCACGACGACCTCCAGGGAGGCTTGTC